TACCCTCACCTAGGCGATCACCTCCGCCGCCTGTCAAGAAGCCGCCACCTCCGCCGCCTGTCAAGAAGCCGCCACCTCCATCTCGTAAGTCAACACCCCCGCCTCCGAGCAAGAGGTCGCCTCCAGCCCATTAATTACCCCGCCCACCCCCAACGAAGAAGTTGCCTGTGCCATCTGCAAAGATGTCCCCGCCACCTCCAAAGGCAAGGTTGCCGCCTCTTCCCGCCAAATAGTCATCGCCACTTGCAATCAAGAGGCCTCCACCACGCCCTTGAGTGATAAATGTGCTGTTCAAGGCAGAACAGCTGCCTCCTTCGATCCAGAGGTCCCCTCCAATGAGGAAATCGCTGCTGATCGGCGGAGGGGACTCCGATGCAGTGAGTAGAGATCCACCCCATCAATGCCCACGACCGGAGCTAGTCGTTCATCCGGACGGGGAGGGTCTTCTTCCACAAGGCAAACGAGCCTCTCCACTTTGGAAGTATTTCTTTCGTGTATTTGAAACTTTTGCTTGCGCAATTGGTTGATCTCAAGCTGTTCGTGTCAGCAAGTCACAAGGGCATTGGAATGGGCAGGGTGATCGAGGAGCGACTCATGAACATCTGGAAAAGGACTATCTGCGGAAGACTGCGTGTCGTTCCGAAGTTGAGGCAGTCGACGAATGTCTTCTAGTTTGGGGTCCCAGGATTCGTGGGCTAGTGTGTATTACTTAACTCGCCAAGACTGTGTAGCCCTTGCTGAGTTTCCTCTCCAAAACACCATGCTAACCCAGTAGTTCAACAAAGGGTTCCAAGATACAAAACTTGAATCCTAACTGCAGAAGACATCCGCCAACCTGCGTTTGCCCATGTTCTCATCAATCTCCCGGTAGGGGTTTTCATATAGACAGCTCAGGCTCCAAGAAGAGGTAAGAAGAGAATCTGAGACCGGGCGCACGTTCTGCCACGACGTCCTTCAGCCCCAAATTGGGGGTGAGTGGAGGCGGTCTGTTTGCGACATCATTATTTGTCAATGATTCACACAAAGATGGGAGTGCGTAGTTTTCTCAGAGGCTCAACCGGAGGACTGCGGGGCCGGACAATATTCACCAGATCTGCTGAGGCTGGGTAGCAATTTAATCTCCAGGAGCAGGACTTTGGTCGGCATGCCCTGTATAAGATCAACCCTGTCTGTGCCGAAGTCTGTTGGGAAGATCCAATCTTGGAAGCGCCAGGTGGAGATGCTGTCCGGGCTCCTAATCCAATTGCTTGCCAGCGCAAGACATAATCCGTCCGCAGTACTTCCGGATGTTGTGAGGTGTCGATTTCCGGCGCATCTTTAGCCTGGTTCATCAACCCACTGAAAGGGCGAACGCCTCCGAAAGTACTGCTCAGCAGAAAAGGAGTACATTCTCTGGCAATAGGCGCATAAATTGGTTCTTCCAGAGATTGCAGAACGGTAAAAGCACAGCTCGCGCACAGCCAATTGGAGGCCAGGGCTATGCGGGCGTTCCTGCGTTTTCCTGCCGTCTCTCTGGCGTTCGTCCTCTTCCTGCACACCTCCATTGTCGTAAAGGTAAGTATTGCTCCCTACATGAGAGTAGTTATGATGAATTCACCTCGCAGCCTTATACCGCATCGATCTATCCTCCTAGCATGCCGATTGCCTCCCAATGCTCAGGCGGACTGCGACCTCAGTATTGGGTTCTTCAGCCTTCCCACGGTTCTGTGAGTCGACCAGTGTGCTGCATATTATCTGAATTATATTCTAGATCGTCGTATTCCTTGTTAATGGCTACGCGCGCTAATCATGATGGTGAGGGCCCTGACTGTGCAGGTACAATGGCACGCTATTCCTCGCCTCCGGGGACACCCCCAGTGAATACTGCAAGTGAGTCTCGGCGCGTGCACCTGCGTGGTAAATTCACGCTGTCCGGTCCCTGGATGCGATGAATCACTCGGGATGAGTGGGTGCAGCCCTGTCATCGAACCCCGCTCCCTTCTATTCCCCCAGGCTCAAGGGCTATGCCTCGCACGCTTACCTCAAGACAGGAGCCATGACCCGCAGTAACCCCTTCCCCTACGCTAAAATCAGTACCTTGGCCATCGAAAGCTGGAATATCTGCGTCCCCTGCGATAGCGCCGAGTGTGCCTGTTCCTACATCCAGATAATTGAGTGTTTGCCAGAAGGCGTGGAGAAGTGCGAATCCCCAAACGCCCCAGAATGGGCCACCATTGGTACTGGGAACAACGGATTCGCGAATCATGGCAACTACAACTTAGGCTACAAGAACAACGGTGGGTTGGATTGGTTGTGCATGTCGCATTGCTGCCCGGCTGACAGTGTCTGAACAGACACACAAGCATGCGCGCACGCACACCGCCGTGCAGGCAACGGCAACATCGGGACATCCAATGTTGGGAACAACAACATTGGGGAATCGATCATCTGCAACAACAAGCGTGGCGATTCCCCGTGCACTGTGACGGATCTCCAAACGTCAGAGACTGCAGTCGTGCTGCCAGTGCCCCCAATGCCTCCACCGCCCCCACCCCCACCCTCCCCCTCGCCCCCCCCGGGGAACGGGCGGCTGTGACCCCGGCATCAGCTTTGTCACACTTCCCACAGTCGAGTGAGTGGGACAGATGAGGGGCTTGCAGCTTACTGGTTAGCCCGCCATGACCCTGCGATCCAGACATGCCCTCACCACCTTCACGCTCTGCGCCGCGCCCCTCGCTATGCAGGGTCGCTGGCGCTGTGTCCTTGCTGGATCCAGAGTCTGCCGGCGCATACTGCCAGTGAGGCCTTGTGATGGTGTGGGCTGTATGGGCTGCAGTATCACTGTCCAGCATCCCTTAAGGGGAAGATACAACCTGCCCACCAGGGTGGTAGCCGGTCATTGCCCAACCCCCTTCCACTCGGTTCCCTCCCCCGACTCAGGCGCAAGGGTTACGGAGGCGGAGCGTTCGTTGCCAAGACCATCAGTATTTCCGAGACCTCGCCCTTTGACTTCCCAATCAATGTGACGAGTCTTGCACCTCTGACTCAGTGCACCCCCAGGGGAGCATCCACCTGCCAGGCTGTCGGCATGGTCCAGTGCATGCCTACCGGGGTTTCGCAGTGCGTCGCAAACAGGGATGGCAACGTCGGCACCGGGAACGTCGGGAAGAACAACTACGGCAACTACAACATCGGAGATGGAAACTTTGGTGGGCCAGGATGGTGGGTGTAGCTGGCTTGGGTGTTGCAAATCCGAGGTCCGGTACCAATCTCCATGCTGCAACCTTTCGTTCTGCAGGCAACCACAACAAGGGGAACAACAACGTTGGAAACTGGCTCGTGGGCGACAAGTTCACATGCAACTACGCAAACACCAGCGCTTGCGCCCTTTTCTTCCTGAGAACCGAGGACACCCTGGACGTCACCCCTCCACCCCCACCGTCCCCCCCACCATCCCCGCCCCCCTCACAAGTGTGCGATCCCCGCAACCCCATCCTGGCCCTGCCCACAATAGAGTGAGTGGGCGCCTCGTGTGGTGGGGTGCAGTGCACAGCATGCAGTTGTCAGGAGTGATTGACGTACTGGGAGGAACTCATCCCTTGATTGAGCAGTCCGTGGCAACTCCACAACCCTAATGCAATAGGTACCTAGGCACCCTCTATCTGGTCTCTGCCGGAGGCTTGGACTCATACTGCCGGTAGGTGCCTCTAGATGCGGTCTAGGGGCCATGCTCTAGCTTGTCAGTGCTGTTCTCGGTTACGATGGCAGACTACTGCATCTTGAGGTTGGGCATGGGCCTCCTTTCTCCACGCTTTGCCTGTTGTCCCTTGCAACCCCAGCTTCCCCTTCGCCCCCTTCCATATGGCAGGAGGAAGGGATACACAGGAGCAGGGTATTGGGAGGTGGTCAACGTGGCCCCAGATGCTCCTTTCACTCCGTTCCAGATCGCCTCGCTCAACCCTGAGACGCTGGAGATCTGCACCCCAACCAAGTCGTACCACTGCCCAGCCCTCACTGTGGTCGAGTGCCTCGCCAATGGCGTGCCGAGATGCGTACAGGATGCGAATGGGAACCTGGGCAACGGCAACGTGGGGTCTCACAACATCGGGCACAACAATCAAGGCAGTAACAACAGAGGTGAGTGAACCAGGGGGACATCTTTCTTCCGCCCCTTTCCAGCCAGACCCAGCCTGAGCCTCGAGCACATCATCACAATACAGGTAGTCAGAACAAAGGAGATTCCAACATCGGGAGCGGGAACACGGGATCGAATATCGTCTGCAACAACTTGGTAGCTCAAGACGAAGCCCAGTGCAGCATAGCAGCATTGAAAACATCAGATACTCTGATCGTGTACCCTCATCCTCCACCCTCCCCTGCTGCCAGCCCTTCTCCAGCCCCTACCCCTGCCCCACACCCCTCACCAGTCACACCCGCGCCTGCCCCGGCAAGTCCTCCGCCGGCCATCAG